GTAAATCATTCCCAGGCTGAACCAATGTCCTCAAGTGGTGTTAAAAAGAGAACTGAAGATGGTCTTCTGGTTAATGCACTGCACTGGGACCCAGGAGACCTGGGTTGCAAAGTTCTGCCACAAATTTAGTGTGTCATCTTGGAAAGTCACTTAGGAGCAGACCTTCAGAGATATTTAGGCACCTAGTTTCAATGGGAGTTGATCCCCAGCTGAGATCAGGGCCCCATCGTGCCGGGTGCTTCACACACAGGGAGTCCACGCTGCAAAGAGTTCACAATTGAAATACATACGAAGCAGGCGGGGAAACTGAAGCAGAGGGGAAAGAAGTGACTTGTGCAAATTCACACAGCAGGTCAGAACTGAGATGAGAACAAAGCCAGGAATTTTAATTCCCAGCCCAAGAGTTTAGCCCCTGTGACTAGACCCTACTACAGCTACCTGAAAGCTACGGTGCCTCTGAAATCCCTGGCCCCAAGGCTGCACCAGTCTCTACATTTCAAGGCCAGTTGCACTGGTTTAAGGCTGCAGGACCCAGACAGCCCTGGCTGTGACAGGACCCTTTGCAGTCACATGTGAGAGGAGCGGAATTCAGCTCTCAGAGGCGGCACTTCCTGACATGGGATTGATGTCAATTATATTCACAGACCAAGCCCCGGCTGCCCTGAGAGCACAGCCAGGTGCTCGTATCAGCTGCTCGCATCATGGCTGGGGAGATAGTCTATGCTGATCTGAACCTCCCCTCTGGCTTTCCTGGCTCCAGGACGCCCCTTTCAGCTCAGCCCCTCAGTAAGTGATCTTTATTTCCCGGGGGGGTCGCTGTAAACCCAAAGACAGATTTTGCTGGGAAGCCCAGAGCAGGTCTGTGCCAGGGGAATTTCTGGCTTTGGGGGGAGGTGGCTGCAACACTTTTGATCAGCTCTCTGTAGCTGCTCACTTCTGTGTGCGGGGCTCTTTCGGTGCAGAAGCCTGGGGTGGAAAGGGGAAGTCCATGCACCCACTCGCCTGCCCGGGTGGTGCATCAGACTTCTCCAGTTACGACCCACCAAGCTCTCGCTGGGGGCTTGTGGAATTATAGATGGTTGCATGACGGACTCAGGCTACTAGGGCATTGGCAAGAATAATTTGAATTGCTCGGACACGACCCTAGAGTGGGGATGAGCCACAAAAGCTACTGCACGAACTCTACGTGCTATTGAGGGCTGTCTCTGGCTATATGCACCTGCAGCCCCCAGCCCAACGGGGCCCTGATCTCACACAGCCTCTCAGGGTGCTACCGTAATTGACTCTTCCTTCCGAGGAAAACCAGTACACACAACTGTAATGCTGCCTCTGGGCATCCTCTGTAATGGTCCACGGAGCTGCTACTCGAAAGCTGAGGAGCGCTGGCTGGGCGGGGAAGGCTAGCTTCCGGGGTAAGCCCCTGCACTGGGAATCTGGACATGGTGGGTCCTTATTTTGGTCAGGTGCTCAGCCCCCCAGAGCTGGAGCCAGTTTTCCGTACGCAGCTCAGCACCCAGCCTGCCTCGGCCCTCATACCCCACATCTGCAGCACACAGGGGCAGGATTTTGCTGCAAGTGGCCAGAGGAGAATTTGCAGGTACAGCGTAGGGCAGTCACATGCTACAGAGCCTCCCCCCCAAAGAACCCTAGCAGAGAACAGTTTCCAGCAGGGGTGGGCCTGGGAGCAGTAAGGAGAATTTCTGCTGCTCCAGATAATCCGAGTTTCTCGGGACTGTCCATAAATTAGAGCAACCCCAGGGACCGTGGGATGCACGCTTCTTAAGAAACTCTTCGAGAAGCTACGGTTCTCAACTCGCTCTGGGCAGCCGTGACTTCACAGCAGCTATATTTAAGCTATTGTTTCCTCTCCCAACCTCGGTGGGGGAAATTCACATCTCTGCAGAGGGCCAAGTGCAAAGGCCAATGCCCAACTTCCAGCCTGCAAAAGAGGACTAGAGTGGTGTCTGGACTTTGTGGGGGTTCTCTACACAGCGGTGAATTTCATCCCGTGCACCCAGCGTCTTCAAGGCAGGGCATGTCTCTTGCTAGGCGCCTGTGATTCATACACGTTGCATGTCTAAGAGTCACTCTGATCGTCAAGTCTGACCCCCCCCCCCCCCCCCGCATAACCCAGGCCAGAGACTGTCACCTACAGATGCTGTCTTTGATTAGAATTATTCTTCCTTATGCTGTGGCCCCAATTCAGCACAGAACTTAACACACGCGCCTCTCGTTAACCACTTCCTTAAGCCCCATTACGGTCAATGGGACTGGAGCACACTGTTCAAGTTAAACCCACGTCCAAGTTCTTTGCTGAATAGGGATGTTTTGTTGAACTGGGCCCTAACTGACATGATTGAGTCCAACAGGAACAAAGCATGCAGGCCACGCTTACAGGATGGGGCACTCTGTCCTGGGAAGCAGGGACTCTGAAAAGTATTCAGGAAGGGGGGGTGGATAATCAGCTGACCATGAACTCCTAGTGTGACACTGTGGCCTAAAAGGCTAAAGCGACCCTGGGATGCATAAACGGGGATCTCGAGTAGGAGCAGGGCGGTTTTTTTTACCTCTTGATTTGGCCCTGCTGCAACCGCTGTGGGAATCCTGTGTTCAGTTCTGGTGCCCACAATTCAGGAAGGATGTTGCTAAATTGGAGAGGGGGTCAGAGAAGAGCCACAAGAATAATTAAAGGATCAGAAAACCTGCCTTGTAGTGATAGACTCAAGGAGCTCAATCTATTTAATAAAGAAAGGGTTGAGGGGTGACCTGATGACAGTCTATAGGTATCTACATGAGGAAAAATATTGAATAACAAGCTCTCCAATCTAGCATAGAAAGGTTCTAACAAGATCCAATGGCTGCAAGTTGAAGCTAGACAAATTCAGACTGGAAATAAGATGTAAATTTTTAACAGGGAGAGGAATTAATCATTGGAACATTTTACCAAGGGTCGTGGTGGATTCGCCATCACTGACAAGTTTTAAATCAACCCTGGGTGATTCTTCTATAAGATCAGCTCTAGGAATTATTTTGAGGATGCTCTCTGGCGTGTGTAATACCGGAGGACAGACAAAACAACCAGAATGGTCCCTTCCGGCCTGGGAATCTCTGAGTAGCTCGTAGTTAAACTGTGGTTAGTTCAATCAGTTTGTGACAAGGGCAGATATTCTTGTTCTTGGACCTTTTCCATGGAATCTTTTTAATCACCATTTTTTGTTCTCAAACATCATCATTTTGAAATGTTTTGATCTCAAGACAGAAATGTTTAGAAGAGGTTTAGAAAACATGATCGACGAGGAGAGGTTGAAGAACTGTACGTGTTTAGTCTAGAGGAGAGACGGAGGAGGGGGGAAATGAGACCAGTCTTCCAGTATGAAAAAGGTTATTATAAAGAGGGTGTAGATCAATTGCTCTCCATGGCCACTGAAGGTACGATAAATAGTAATCAGCTTAATTTGCAGCAGGGGAGATTTAGGTGAGATTTTAGGAAAAACTTTCTAACGCTAAGGGTAGTTAAGCACTAAAACAGGTTAGCTAGGGAGGTTGTGGAAACTCAGTCATTGGAGGTTTTTAAGAATAGGTTAAACAAACACCAGTCACAGACGGTCTAGGGGTAAATATGGTCCTAGCTCCGTGAGGGGTGAGGGAGGGGGAAGGTGGGCTACATGACCTCTTGAGGTCCCTTCCAGCCCTACATTTCTGTGGTTCTCTGTCTTCAAGATTGAAAGATGTTAAGTCTGAAATAATAATGTCATTTGGCTAAGCTGGCCATGCAACATAGTAATTAAACCTTGAAAATGCAAAGAGAAAGCACCTAACTAGAGATATTTACAAATGGGAAAATGTTTCCAGCCAAAAAAGTTGCAAATGGGAAACCTTTGAGAAAATCAAAGCTGGGAAAGCAAAGTAATAATAGTGATGCCGAATCCTGCCCGGGCCATTGTAGGTTGCTCAGGGCACGACCCAGACTCCACCATCCCTGGCTAACCTGGGCTGCTCTTTGCCTGTATTTGGGGTTGTCATGTTCTGTACGTTCTCTGTCTCTCGGAGGACAGCTCGATGGAGGGATCCTTTGCTAGGCCCCCTTTGCATGTTCTTCCAGCTGCCCGATGGCCAATGCTCTGCTTCATTCTTAACCTAAGAACGGCCAGACTGGGTCAGACCAATGGTCCATCTAGCCCAATATCCTGTCTGCCAACAGTGGCCAAAGAAAACACATCCCAGATCTTTCCAACTTCTGTTCTGGATAACTTAAGAGAGCAGGTGATGTTGGACTCTTGGCATTTGTTATTAATTAATTGCATTTAATGTCTAGTAATTTTCTAAGGCATTTGCTTTCCAAGGTATTTAGACATCTGTCTATGCCTTTGGTGGATTTCCAGCTTTCACATCTATGCATTAGGGTGGAAATAACATTTGAGCTGAATACTCATAGTTTGGTCTTTAAACTGTAGATTTGCAATGACCGAATCGTGTTTAAGCTGGTCCATGCAGCTGCTACCTTGCCAATTTGTGACATTATTTCCTCCTGGACTTTCCGTTGGCGTGCACGGTACAGCCAAGGTATGCAAATTGACAATATACATAATGAACACAATAGACAATAATTAAGAATAATGCAATCAAACAGAAAAAGAACTTGAAAAACAACAAACAAATATGGTGAAGAATAAAAAAAGGGGAGGTCATTTAAAAATGTGGGAAATGTAAAATATTGAGAAAATGTTCATATTTTCCTAAATGTTCATATTTCCCATTTTCAAGAAAAGGGCCAAAATTTCACCCCATTGCCTTTACATTAAAAGTCAGACAGCTCTCCAGTCATCCCAGACTGGCCTACGAAGGGAAACCAGATGAACAGGGGAGTGTATAGGCCCCAATCCTGTAATCAACTCCCTGTGGGCATCGGATTCTACCCACGCTGGGGATGTATTTTTCTTTGAAACGGTCTTTCGTACACCAGGTTCCGATTGTTTTTCACCAGACGTTGGCTCTTACAGGTCCCCCGAGTCCCCGGTGGCATCGGACAGCGCTGTGGGTCGGATGGATTGGGAACGTTGTCCTCGTGATGGCTGTGATAGCGCTGGGGATTTGGGGTGAGTAGCTGACAGCTCCGTGTTTATTTGTGCGGGTCCCTCAGTGTATAGCATGGATTAGCCTGTCCCTCCAGCACTCCATTGTGGAGCCCCTCCCACTAGCTGGTACATTTTTTTGATGCTCCGAAGAGCTTGACTGTAACGTAGAGAGAAAATTAAATATATAGGGAGATGGGTGTGAATGGGGATGGATGGAAAACTAGATAGATCCAGGCATACACTGGAACCGGTTAAAAATAAGGGGGGGAATTTACTGATATATTTTTAAAAAAATCCTTGTCACCCTCTGTTCAAAATTCAAAAGATCCCCCTAAATTCTGAAAGCTCAGAATTTGAAAAGCTCTGCAAGTTGGCTGAAAAAACGGGAGGGAGTGGGGAGAATTGGGTGACCGTTTCATCAACATTTTCCCTCATTTTTTGTTTCAAATTTACATAAACATTTTAAAATTAGCAAAAAATTTCAGCCAACTCCAATACTAGCCCTGGTTGAGAATTTGTCAGCCAAATGTGTGTTTTAAAAAAGGAAATTTGGATTTTGCTATATGTGTGTGCTCCCTATCCCCCCGGTTACCTTCTTTAGCACCAATCCCCTGACAGGTTTTGAGGGACGGGCCTGTCTTCTTCTGGATCCCACCTTCCGCTCCCCAGGGTGTAACATTTTTATTTGCTTCCCGTATGAATTTATTTGCTGGTGCCGCTACCCACCTCACTTCTGCCTGGCAGGGTCACCAGGGCAGCTTGGGAGGAAAATTCTCAGCCCAGGGTAACCCCCACTTACTTGCCAGTTAGCTGGAGACTCCCAAGAAATAACACAGACACATACAATATATTCCACACCGTCATTATATTAGACAGGAGATAAATATAACACTATTCCAGGGGAAACCGGTGTCCACGCTGATAATACCCATGAATTTCCCCAGTCACGTGACCTGATCTAGCAAAGGTGAAATTAGTGCCCCGTTGGCGTGTGTACTTGTAGGGGCTCTTGACGACCTGTGACCACGATATCATCTGTGCCTGTTAGCAGCGTGGCTGACTGGGCTCAGTGCAGCCCAAAGGACTCACGCGTGGGATAAGGCCGTCAGTCCCGCCACGGGTTTAATAGTCAGCAGGTTATAAAATCCCCAAACCCAGACCCGCTGGCTTGAGGGCACATTTCCCAGGAGTAGGGGGGGTTTCTCCCGAACCATCTCCCTGACTAGCTAACGGAAGGATGGCGACTCACAACTCCACGCCGGATCCTCACGGTCAGAGATGGCTCTGGACTGCGGAGGGGCTGATGATCACTGCGGGCAGGTGTCCTCTTCAGGCAGGGGTCAGGCTGCTGCTGCTCCCAGGATTTCTCCTCACCTCCAAGGGGTGTACGGCTCCGGGGGCAGGTTACTAAACTAGCCTGAAAATCCTTACTTCAGTCTCCCACCCCAGCACTCAGCCACACTCCCCGCCAGCGGCAGCCCCGGGCTAGCAGCCAGAGCAGTGGTGCCATGGGGTGGCTGATTTTCCCTAGGGAGATGGGGGCTAAACTCAGCCAGGCTGTGTGGGGGGAGTTTTCACACACACAGCATATCAGGGTTGGAAGGGACCTCAGGAGGTCATCTAGTCCAACCCCCTGCTCAAAGCAGGACCAATCCCCAGTTTTTGCCCCAGATGCCTAAATGGCCCCCTCAAGGATTGAACTCACAACTCTGGGTTTAGCAGGACAATGCTCAAACCCCCCTCCCAACAAAGGTCTCTAACCTGGGAGTTGCCTTCCTCCCAGGGATAGCGCCTCTCCCTGAGCTACTGGCACACAGAGCCCCAGGAACCTAGGGAAGCACCTTGGGGCTTACACATGTATATATATCTCCGCTCCGGCTGTGTCACTGCAGTGCACCTTGGGAGTCCCAAGCCTGCGGTGCATCATGGGAGATGTAGTCCAGCCAGGGAGCCTAGTCCATAAGGAGGAACAGCAGCATGAGGCACGAAACTACAACTCCCAGCAGCCTAGGCGTGGCAGGTCAATATTGAACCCACCTGAAGTGAAACATTTCATGCTTCCCAATCAGGTTGATTCTGAATTTTTCCTTCCACAAACAAGCTTTTGATACTTTGACTTTTCGTCCCAATTCAGGGCAAAAACAAATGTTGAAATATTGGAATTGCCTGTGGCACATAAATTCGGATTTTTTGACCGACTCTTTCTAATACATACACAGCCCCAGAGATAGTCACAGCAATGTAGACACAGGGAGCGCACCAGACCTGTAGAAAGAGGATATTGTCTTTAACAGACCTGGGTTCTGTTTCCACATCTGCTGGGTGACCTTTGCACAAGGCACTTTGCCTTTGTGTTTCCGTTCCCTCCCCAGCCGATGATTTGCCTTGTCCATTTACGGGGAGATTTTCAGAAGCCCTTAAGGAATTTAGGAGCACCACCTTCACACTGACATTAAATACCCTCCACTTGGCTGTAAGCCGCTCTTAGCTCTAGCATCAATTCCTGACTCTGCCACAGACTCCCTGTGTGACTGTGGGCAAGTGCTCTGGGCCTCAGTTTCCCCATCGAAAAAATGGAGATCGTGCCTCCTTCATCTAAGCAGATTGCAAGTTCTTTGAGGCAGGGACCGTCTCTTGCTGTGTGTCTGGGCAGCGCCCGGCACAACGGGGCCCTGATCTCAGCTGGGGCCAGGACTGTCTCTCGCTGGGTGTCTGGGCACAGCTGGGCCTCTCGGCTCCACAGTCATAGATATAATACCAGTAAGAGAAGGCTGGTCCGAGGGGCTACGGCCTAGCTGCAGCCTAGAATGTGTCTGTGCTGGGCTGTAAGGAGCCAGCTGGGCTCTGGGCAGAAGATGCCGTTTGCTGCCCTGTCCCTGTTTGTAACCTTGTTTACTTGGGCGGCCGGAGCGACATAGGTGGTTTCTCTTTGTGGTACGGGAGAGGAAGTAAAATGAGGACAGGAGCTGTTTCCACACTAGACTGGGCAGTGAGGGGGCGATTCAACTTCAAAGGTCATCTAAGTCAATGGAAAGTTTTATTAACATTGCACTAGTAACCCAGCTGAGATCAGGGCCCCGTTGTGCCAGGAGCTGTTCAGACCCACAGCGAGAGACAGTCCCTGCCCCAGCTGAGATCAGGGCCCCGTTGTGCCGGGCGCTTCACAGAGCCACAGGGAGAGACAGTCCCTGCCCCTCCAAGAGCTCAGAATCTCAGTAGACAAGACAGTCAAAGCAAATAAGTTGAAATTACTTGGCCAAGGTCATACGGCAGAGCTAAGTCTGAATCCCGATTTCCTCCTCACGCTGCCTTTCCATTAATCACGCTGGGCATTCGACTGTACCACCGGCTGGGGAGTTGTAAAGGGATTGTTGTAATTTCAAATTTTGAAATATTTCCACTTGCTTCAAAATCTGGGGGCAGGGGGAAATGATCCTAGTGGACCCCCAGCTTTTCATCAGCCGTGGGCGTTTCCATACAACTGTCCCCAACACGTAATAGTGAAGAAATGTAGCTGGTGGATAAAATGGAGAAGGGGCGTCCCCAAAATGTGGCTGGGAATGTTTCCCCCTGAAGGTCGTGTTCCCATCGCCAGGCTGATGTGTCAGACAGAGATGGCTGTTCGCCACAGGATGGTGGGACGGGGCAGGAGCTCCCAGGCATCCCGAGAGGAAGGCTGGCCACTGGTTTTGGTGCTAATCTGGGACTCAGGAGCTCTGGGACCTGTTCCTGGTTCTGCCACTGATTCCCCGTGTGACCCTGGGCTGGTCCCTTAAGGCTGGAATTCCACAGGAGTTTATAAGTACCTAACACTGCATCTAGGCGCCTAAAAACAACCCACTCGGTGACTAATGCCTATTGAAGTCAATGGGAATTGGGCTCCTAGGGCCCACATTCTCAAATGTATTTAGGTGCCCAACACCCACAGGAGTTAGGCACCTAAATCCTGTTGAGGATCTGGGCCTAGGTGCTTCTGAAAACCCCACTCGGAGTCTCTTTGCAGCTTTAAGTGCCTAAACCCCTTGAACAATCTGTCCCCATGATCCTCCCCTTCTTCATAGGGAATGTGGGTGAAGGACAGAGACAGCAAGTGACAGGGGTCAGATAAACTCCGCAACAGACAGGTTGCGCCCCTCTGGGTGGCTGCATTGGAGGGGGAGGCTTCTGGGAGACCTGTTTTTACTGAGCCAACTTCCACAGCAGCAGAGAGCCCCTGACGCCGGACGCTGTGACCCCGGCCCTGACTCCCACACAGCTTCAGCCCAGAGTCTCGGCTTCCTGTGCGATCTCACACCCCCGCCCACGTGGCTCCCGGACCCTCCTCTCTCCAGGGCAGGACGCACAGTGAGGAGGGCTACACTGTATTGAACCTGCAGCCCCAGAGGGGCGGCTGAGGTGGCCTGTCCCGGCTCGGAACCCAGGCTGGTCCACACCACTGTGAAGAGCTCTGTGCCTCAGTTTCCCCACCTGTACAATGGGGATAACAGCCCTGTGCCCTGCCTCACAGGGTGCGACTGGGAGGCAAAATCTAGCAAAGACTCTGAGGTGTTCTGATACTGCTTTGATGGGGGCTGGATAACTTAGATGCAAAGATGAGGTGGGTTTGCAAAGAGGCCCAAGGGATTTAGGCATCCAGCTCCCACTGATTTTCAATCCCAAGCCACTCTTTTGGACTGTGGCCCTTTGGGGCTGTTCTGAAGCCCATGGGAGTCGATGAAGGTGGGGCTGAGTGGGCTTTGGGCCAGGCCCTGTGTCTCAGCCGGTGCTTTTCCCCAGCAACTCCCCATCACATTGACCCGCCACCTCACTCTCACCGACGCCGCTTTGCAGTTTCCCACTTGATGTCCGAGAAGGGACGGACCCTGGCATCCCCTGGGAGCGACGGAGCCGGGTGCAGAGATACAGCGACACCCCCTGGGAGCGAGGGAGCTGGGAGCAGAGATACAGCGACACCCCCTGGGAGTGCAGACCGCAGCACGGCAGAATGCAGCGCCCGCCTGGAGCATTTCCGATCCCAGCTGTGCCCCCCGGCCCAGCCCGGCCCAGCAGGTAACCCCAGCTCATGTGTCTCTGAGCCGCCCTCCGCCCTGGGCACGGCCAGTGGAAACCCAGCTGCCGTCCCAGCCCGTGGGGATCCTGCAGGGCAGGGACACGCCGCCCCCTGCTGGCTGCACCGATCTAGCCACCAGCCCCGCTGGGTGCCAGGCGAGGAATGGACCTGCCTCAGCTGGGACTGGGTGTGGGGGCTCTGGGGTGTGGGGGAGAGCGACATCTAGTGGCCATGCCCGGTACTGCTCAAGGGGGGTCTTAAAATAATCTAATACCAGGATGGCCAAATGTTTGCAGAGCAGGGACAGATCCCAGCAGAGAGACGGTCTCATGGACTCACCCCCTCCCATTGCCAGCCATCCCTGGGATCCCACCTTCTCTCCTGTGCTCCCCAGTTACCACCTCCCCTCCCATATCCTGTTAGATTTCCACTAACCAGCCCCCAACGCATCTTCAGTTGTCCTAAGCCCCTTCTAGGCCACTCTGGCAGAATAATGTAGCCTTAAAATGGATGCAAATAGCCCCATGAGGTCTCCTCTGCCCTGGAGACCTCCCTGCCTAGGGTGGGACTGGAGTAAGAGCCCCTCACACACTCTGTTCCCAACCCCCAAAGTAGGGAGCAGATTGGCGTGGGTGGCAGTGCACTATGGGTATTCTCTGCTCCCCAGGGCCCATATGGGAGCAATGGATAAGGCAGAGCAGCCCCGAGGCTGCTCTAACTGACGCCAGGAGCCAGGCAAGGCCCGGCCTAACCCCAGATTTCAGGGAGCACAAAGGGGATTCAAACCCATTTTATCCCCATCCCAGCCCCAGTCGCAGGAAGGGAGTAGCCGGGAATGAGGCCCAGAGGGCTCAGAGCATTAATGAATCCTGTCTCTCTGCAGGGGGCTCCGGGTGCAAACTCTGCCCCACGGACTGGCAGCTGCATGGGGACAAGTGCTACTGGGTCGGCAGTGGAAGTAAAACGTGGAGTGAGAGCCGCTCCGACTGCTCAGCGAGGGGCTCCCAGCTGCTGGTGATCCGGGACAAGGCGGAGCTGGTAAAGGGGACGGTAACATCCTGCGGGAGCTGCCCCTGCAGGCCTGGGCCCTGGGTAGAGAGTCCGAGGACTCGTATATGCTACATGGTAGATCTAGGATTGTCAATGCTGCCTAAAGGACTTGGACACCCCATTCCCATTAATTGTTAATATCAGGGTGTCCAAATCCCCTAGGCAGCTACGACAAATCTCAGCCTAAATCACCAGCCCTGAGATCAGGGACTGACAATGGTGGATTAAAGCTACCGGTACCCTCCCCCTTCTGGGATGTGCCCAACACAACTCAGCTGGAGAGAGGGGCTGAGTGTGTGTGTGTGTGTGTGTGAGAGAGAGAGAGTTATGAGGCTTGAGGGCTACAGAGAGAGGGGGTAGGTGTGGGGCTGGGTGGACAGAAGAGTTTACATGGGGAATACTTGGCGAGATGGACAGGTATGCGTGGGGATGGATAGGTGTGTACAGGGATAGGTGGACAGCCAGACAGTAGTTCTGGGGCTAAAGTTGTTGAGAACTTGGATTTGGAAGAAAAGAGCCGAGAGCAGGTTCTGGTCCCCAGCTGCCTGTCCCACACTCCCTGCAGGAGTCCCTCCAGCCCCTGACACGAGGCACGTATCAGTTCTGGGTCGGACTGTCCCGCCCCTCCCCGGAAAAGGTCTGGACCTGGCTGGACGGCTCCCCGCTGGATCAGACCCTGTGAGTGATTCCTTGAGTCAAACCCTTTCCCTCCCCTCCGTGGGCAGCAGGGGCCGGGGACAGAGATGGGGGGAGGGGATGTTTGGGGGAAGGTCAGGACTTTGGGGGAAGTCATTTTCAGTGTAAGGTGACGACAAAGACCCTTCTATTCCCCCCCCGGCCCCCAGAGGAGGTGAAGCTGGAGCACTGGGGGCGGGGGACGTCTCCCAGAGTCGGGGTGTGGAGGGAGAAGAGCAAAGGGGCCAGGCCAGAGCCCTGGGGATCCCCCAGACAATGGGGCAGGGGGGAGGGGGAGACACAGAGCCGCCAGAGAGGCAGGAGGGGATCAGGAGGGGGCAGCGTCGGCCCAGCCCGGTGGGGAGGGGACGCGGAGCAGGGGAGGGAGATGGACAGGGTCTAGCCCAGCGGGGAGGAGGAGGCTGGAGCAGGTCCCTGGGCTCTGGGCAGGGAGAGGCCGTTCGAGACCCTGGCCAGGGCCCTGACAGTGGGGAGAGGGGGCAGCCCCCAGGGCAGAGCTGGAGGAGACGACGGCTGCGGATCCCGTTGGAACAGGGAAGAGCCGCTACCGACTGCGTGTGATGGACCCACACAGGCTGACAGGGCCCCTCTCCTCTGTCCCGCAGGCTCCCGGTGTCAGGCCAGGCTGAGGGGAACAGCTGTGGGGTGGTGAACAGAAATCGGATTGGTTCTGACACCTGCAGCTCTGCATTTCAGTCGATTTGCCAGCGAGACGCCGTCCCGCTCTGAGCAGGGTACGGGGGAGACCTCAGAGCGCGGCACCATTATCCCCGTGTCACACGAGGGGAAACCACACGGCAGACACTGACCTGCCCAAATTACACCGAGAATTGATGGCAAAGTGGGAAATGGAACCCAGGAGTCCTGGCTCCCAGCCCCGCCCCCTCGCCCAGCACTGGGAATAGAACCCAGGAGTCCTGGCTCCCAGCCCCTTCCCGTCGCCCAGCGCTGGGAATGGAACCCAGGAGTCCTGGCTCCCAGCCCCTCCCCCTCGCCCAGCCTTGGGAATAGAACCCAGGAGTCCTGGCTCCCAGCCCCTCCCCCTCGCCCAGCACTGGGAATAGAACCCAGGAGTCCTGGCTCCCAGCCCCTCCCCCTCGCCCAGTGCTGGGAATGGAACCCAGGAGTCCTGGCTCCCAGCCCCTCCCCGTCGCCCAGTGCTGGGAATGGAACCCAGGAGTCCTGGCTCCCAGCCCCTCCCCCTCGCCCAGTGCTGGGAATGGAACCCAGGAGTCCTGGCTCCCAGCCCCTCCCCGTCGCCCAGTGCTGGGAATGGAACCCAGGAGTCCTGGCTCCCAGCCCCTCCCCCTCGCCCAGCGCTGGCTGGCAGGGCTTGGGCTGCAGGTATCAGGCTCTGCAGAGCCCTGGGGCAATTTATCCCTCACCCCCCACAGGACTGGGAGAGAAGAGTCTGCCCCAGGTCACGTAAATCAGCCCCAATTCAGTGTCCAGTGGAGCAGAACTGATTGACCCCAGCTGGGGATCTGGGCTTTCCCCTGGATTTCACCCGATTCATTTCCTTTCACCTCTCTGCCAGGTTCCGCTCTCCGCTCTCTTCCCCGGCGCACCCACTGCTCCCGTCCAGCCTGTGACCTGACGCACCTCTGCCCATCCTGCCCTAACGGATCGTTAACTCCTGTCACTAACGATGGGGTCTCAGCTTCAGAGGTTTCTGTGTGGATGTGCTGTCCACTTGCTACCTCCTTAGGGCACCTTTAAGTAGATCAGTGCCCCCAACCCCGATCCCAAATGGAACCTTTCCCTGTGCATTATTTGACGCTCTCCGGGGTCACTGTCTCTGTCAGAGGAGCCGGATTGGGGTGCTCCATGGCAGTGAGGGGGGCACTACGGGGACGGCTGGGGGCTAACGAACGCCCTGTTACCCCGTGGCCCAGCAGCCCAGGAGGAGATGGCCTGGCAAAGCTGGAGGGCAGGGCGGCTGGCCAGGCTGAGAGCTGACCTTCCAAACAGACCCAAGTGTCTTTAGGAGCCGCCCCCGAGACAACTGGGCTTGTGAGTGCAACAGGACAGAGCTTGTCCGGTCCGCGGAAGAGACAGGGCTGGCGAGCGCTGGCCCGGTCAGGGTTTGGTCCTGGAGCTGGATGAAGGCAACATGCTGAAGGTGCTGTCACAAGAGGGAGACGGTGTGGCCTCCAACCAGAGCCCCAGCATCTACCCTGCAGTTAAACCGCTCCTTCGCTCGAGCCCGGGTTAGGTGGCATGAGCCAGGCGCAGGTGTCCAACTGCCGTGTAAACATCGCCCTTGTGCTTCACTTTCCCCATCTGCGAAATGGGGATATTGATATTGACCTTCCTGCATGAAGCACTTTGAGATCTACAGATGCAAAGCTCGAGATCGGAGCTAGGGATCATCATGATCATGGGGACATTAAAGGTTTCTGTTAAACCGTGCGAAAGCTGGGTGTGTTTATTGTTGATGGGCCACAGAGCGACTCGAACCATGGCTTTGACGTGTTATGTGACTTTAGACAAGTCACTTGCCCAATCTGTGCCTCAGTTTCCTCTCCCACCCTTTGTCTGTCCTGTCTGTTCAGATGGTGAAGGGACCACAATATAGTCCTGATCTCAGCTGGGGCAGGGACTGTCTCTCGCTGTGTGTCTGGGCAACGCCCGGCACAACGGGGCCCTGATCTCAGTTGGAGCGTCTAACCACTGGTGTCATACTTGATGCTTAGCATGGTGGTGTGGGTTCATGTGTAATTGTCTGCAGTTTGTCTATCAGTAATGGTTCCTGGGGATTGTGTATGGCTAGACAGAGAACAGCTCAGCTCTTTGATGTCTCTCTCTCACACACACACACATTCCACTGTGCTCATGACAGACAAGTTCCTTCCCAGGGCAGAGACGTCAGGCTGAGCCCTGCCCTTTCTAGGCAGAGTCCAGGGAAAAGCCCTTCCCCTAGTGAGTGGAGAGCCCTTCCCCTAGAGAACATCACCCCTTGGCAGGCAGAGGGAAAGATGAAGAGGATCGGGCAGAAAAAGGAGAGAGAGACACACACACACACTTGGTGGGAGGGGCACTCACAGCCCTCTTGGCAGGATGCAGCTGCTGCCTCAGTTTCCCTGTTGGGGTGGGAGGAGCCATTCACATGAGGATTTAAGGTTTACAAAATAAAAATGTCCCTTCTGGGAGCTGGTTTATTATTATAAAAATGTCGTACATGTACACACACACACACACAGAGTCTATCCTAGCACGTGCCAGCAATCCTCTTGTCCGCGGTGCCTCTTCACGCTCCTGCAGCCCTCGCAGCAGGGCCTGCAAACCAGCCCTTCTCGCCTTACAGCAGGAGTTTGAGTCCTTCCCCCATGGCTGCAGGGGCCACAACACCTCCAGAGACAGTCTCTGGCAGATCAGTCCGGCCACTGCTCGTCTCCGGCTCCTGCCCTGGGTCTCTGAGAGGAGGGACGCTGCAGGTTTGGCTGTTCCCCTTCCAGTTTCCTAGTCAAAAGATTCTGTCTCTGTGCCATAGACGGGGCCCTTGGCTTTTATACCCGTTTCCTCTCCCAGCAGGATTTGCTGCCAATTTTTCACACCCTACTGCTTGTGAAGTACAAACAACTGCCATGTCCTGTCTTATGGCTATAGTGTATTCCATCTGTCCGATTGTTGGGGTGCTCTTGTTTTTCCAGCTATAGCACTGGGACATACACAAGGCAGGACATTATAGTGAAGAGTGTGGTATAAAGGCAGGCATTAGATAGGAGAGAATGACAGATGGAAGGGATTGTCCTCAGTTTATTAGTCCTTGTGGGGACTCCCCTGTTGGCAGGATGCAGCTGTTGCCTCAGTTTCCCTACAGGGTTGGGAGCAGCGGTTCACATCCCCTCCTGTTCGCTGCTTCTCTTCATGCTCTCGCAGCAGGGCCTGCAAACCAGCCCTTCTCGCCTTACAGCAGGAGATCAGGGGTCCTTCCGCCAGGCTGCAGGGGTTCACCCCAGCCCCTTCATTCCCCTGGCCAGATCGCTCAGCTCTTCTCAGGCTCCTACGCCTGGTTTTTAAGCTGCAGGCTCCAAATGTTATTAAACCTGAACACAGGGGCTGCCCTCAGCCTGGGAGGGCCACGGAGTCTCGCCCCTAATTCAGGGTGGGGCTGCTGGAATGGAGCCATAAAAGACCCACATTATGTGGTCTCCCTGTTAAATCCCTGGAGCACCCCACATTCCCAAATGGGCCAATGGGTGCCAGAGGCTCCAAGGGGAGGAGCTATACGCTGTCTTTCAGCGACCGTCTCTCTTCCTTGCTGCTGGGGCTGTCCCCCTTCGCCAGCCCCATCCAGTCCCCCACTTGCTGAGGCAGCTTGGGACAGCCCCGTTAAAAGGACAAGGCCCAGCCTCATCCAGGTCACTGTCACTGTGCTCTGCCTTCTGTTTTCTCCACTGGTTTGCTGCAGATCCAGCGTCCCTCCCTGGAGCAGCCTGAACTGGAAATATCGCCACTGTTCAGAAAAGCACACAACCCTTCTCCTGCTATTATAAACCTGCAACAGCAACAAATAAAAATAATCAGAAATCGAACAAAACTTTGAAAGCAGCCTCCACTAGCAGCCATAATCTGGCTCCAAGCCATTTTCCCCAAGGTCACAGCAAACCTGGGGTGAAACCAGGAATTGAACCAGATTTCCTAAATCACAGCCCCAGGCCCTAACCACAGGGCCTGTCTTCCGTTTTAAATGTGAGCTGCATCATTCACTGAGTGAACAGAACTCAGAGGGACTCACCAGTTGCTGAATTTGGTGCCACTGACCCATTTCCAGGTCTGGTTCAGGTCCCTCCGGAGGCCGATCCAATAGTTGGGGATGTCTTTATAGCGCATCATGAAATCCTTTGTTAGAAAAATAAAAGTAAGTATGCGTCACACACCATTTCTGGGCCCCTACAACCTGCACTTGATTCTCTGAGCTACGACACGGGGCGCTGGGCAGGGGGTCCAGGCTGGGAATTCGACACCAAGACATGACAATCCAGACTCGAAGGCAGCACCCATCCGCTCCATGAGCTACGGGGAAGTCAGTCCATGTGTGGACATTGTGCTAAGACTAGTCTAGTTTCAGAGTAACAGCCGTGTTCGTCTGTATTCGCAAAAAGAAAAGGAGGACTCGTGGCACCTTAGAGACTAACCAATTTATTTGAAGTGAGCTGTAGCTCACGAAAGCTCATGCTCAGATAAATTTGTTAGTCTCTAAGGTGCCTTTTCTTTTTGCAACTAGTCTAGTGCGCTTAGTAGAGCTGGCTGGAGCTTTTCCATCAAAATATTCTGTGACAGAAAATGTGTTTCCTGCAAAAATGAATTTTTCCAAAAGTAAATTTCGCTGAATTTTTTCCATTTCCACTGAGCAATTATTGTGTTTTGGGTCAGTTCAGCATTAGTCTGTAGCCAGCTGAGCTACCAGGGTGCCTTGTGGGAATTATAGTTGGGCCTCACACCTCCACCTCCCTCTACTATGGGCTGGTTCCCCCTAGACTACATCTCCCATAAAGCACCATGGTTTCCCTATTGGCTGAGCCACTGCTGGGCATCATGGGTGATGTAGTCCAACCCGGGATCTCAATGCACAAAAGGGGGCAGAAGGCACCCAAAGGACAACTCGCATGAGGAACCACAGGTGCTGTTCAATGCTGAACCAGGCTGAAACAAAATGTTTTGATTTGCTTTGACAAATCAAACTGTTCTGATCTGTGAGTGTCAAAAGAAGTTGGTTTGATCAAACGTCAAAACCAGACATTGTCACATATTTCTGGAACTGAAAGGAAAGTTAAAAGTTGAGTCATTTCAGCTTCTTGTCCCGATTCCAATATTTTGACATTTATTTTTATCCTACATTTCCCATAGGCTGGAAATTCTGATTTTCAACCAGCTCCAGTAGTTAGCAGCCATCTGGCTCTGCTCTCAGCTGCACTCCAGGCCTTTACCACTCCTACATGCTGACCAAATCCCTTGATTTTACTGAGAGTCTCATGCTGTTTGGTGCTTTTCTTAACACCCCAGCTCCTGGAGTCAGGTGATTACAAGAGACTCTCATCTTTCATAAGTTTCTAACTCTCATGGTTGCAGAGATAAACTTGAAAATGTGACCCCCTAAAAGCTACAACACCAGAAAACAAATTAGAAGCCCTGGCAGCTGTTATTTTTCAGTCAATCTCATGGTTTTGGGGGTCCTGACTGCTGATTTTTAAATGCCTGGGTTGGCAATGCTGCTCCTGTCACATAAAAGGGGCTGGAAAGCATCTAGATTCCCCCACTGGGAACTCCCCTGGAGGTCAGCACATTAGCCCCACACTGCTCCGACTCAATCCCTAGTGAACGGGGAGGATGGAGAGTGGGTGGAGCACTCTGTACTCTGGCTATTCTGGGATGTGAGAAGTTGCCCTAAATTCAAGCAGCATCTGGGGCCCTGACAGCCCCAGGACAAACCCAGCAGAAAGCCGCCTTTGCCACCCCCACCCTGTGCAGCCCAGAATCTGGGGCTCACCATTTCCTGCTGGGTGTCGATCACGGCCAGGGAGGCACCGAGTGCTGAGCAGTTGTTCTGGCTGTAGGTCCAGTTTCCTTCAGTCTCTGAGAAATAGTAACACTTCCCCAGGTACCCGAGCCAGCCGTCCGGGCAGGCAGGACCAGCTGGACACGGCTCAGATTTCCTTGCTGGAGATGAGAAAGTAGCAGGGTGAGAGATCTGCCCGTCTCCCTCTGTAGTGGTCTCCCTCCAAGGGAACCCGCCCCCCCAGCGACACCACACCATGGAACACCGTGCACGCACACCAGGGGAAGCTGGTCTTGTGCCGGGACACGTTCCCCTTTACAACAGGGAGAGGCCAGCGCCCTCCACCAGCACCCTCCACAGCGACACCGGCTGTGAATTTGGAGCCACGTTTCCAGCCCTGGTCTCCTTTGCTGTGCCCCAGTTTTGCCCCCCTGCAGTTAACCGCAGGCACAGCCGGTGCCGGTGACTGCACCCGCATGTCGGGCACTTCGGCTTCTGCATGGCAGGGCTGGTCTGCGGGGGAAGCAATCCCGGAGCCGTGTGTCGTGGGCACAAAACCGTGCTCTGAAAAAAGGCCAGTGGTGAGGCCTCCCGTGGTACCAACCAATCGATGAGATAATTATAATCAGCCGCCAGGTGGAGCTGTTACCCCCTGGACACCCACAGGTGAGATGCTAGGTATAGAATAGACGCAACCAGACACCAGGAGGTGCTGTTGTCTCTCAGTTTGAATCTACCAGAGGAGAGGAAAAGACCCTCTGGATCCTTTCACTGAGGGGGAGCAGGGGGGGTTTCCATGAAGGCTTGGATCTAGGTGCCCGTGAAGCCGGCCAGCTCGGCAAGACGCTGGACTTGGGGGGAAAGCGGCTTCATGAGACAGGAAAGGTGAGTGTGGACCCAGGTTCGTGTTTTGTGTTGTTATCATTTGTGCCCACCTCGTTCTCTCGTTTCTAGTTAAATCGTTTTTCTTTCCTGAACAAACCTCTCCTGTTTATTAGCCATGCTCACAAGGGCTGTGTGTGATACAGGAGCGGTGGTTTATAGTAAAACTGGTAAATACGGGCATGCTGCACCTTTGGGGCAGAGGATCTGGGTGCCAGGGCTGGAGGTCACAGGGGCACGCTGCAAAGGGACACAGGGGTTGGGGTGCAGCTATTGTTATCTACAAGGTAAAGCCAGGGCTGGCCTAGCCGGGAGGAGAGGGCTTGCGAGGCTGAGAGGCTGGTGGGGTTAGGGAGCTGACAGCCAGCTGGGAAAAGATGGAGACAGGTGTCTCCCTGCTGGAGACAGGGGTAACACGGTGACTCATAGCCCTGGGTAACCAGGTGTGTTTGGGTGACATGGCAGAGCGAGCCAACAGCCAGTGGGAGCTGGACTATGGTGGGTGAGGGGGGAGAGACCCCACAGAAACACCCCGGGCTCAGCAGAGTCTGATGTGACTGTTGAAGCAGGGGTGGGCTGTGGGGGGAGGGGGGGAGAGGGGAGAAGTTGGGGGGTGTTGTGAGATTTCCAGCATGGAGTGTAAGACACAGAGACGGGGCCAGTGCAGGCTCCACGCTCACCTGACAGGGCGATGAGGGCGACGATGAGGGTGATGACAGTGATGGTCAGGATGGGAACAAGAACCATGTTCAGAACTGCCCAGCGACGTGCCTGTGATTTCCACCTAGAGAGCAAACCTGTAATAGAAACAGCCATTAAGGCTCACGGGGCGGCTAGAGCAGGGAGAAATGGGCCCTGCACTGATCAGCAGCACCAGCTGGAGCTGGCTTAAAAAAAAGGGGGGGGTGGTATTTTCAAATATATAGAGAGAAATTTAGAGAGCATGAAGTGAAAATTTTCATTCCAAATGGGGGGTGGGGGGGAGTCCTTTCAACTTAAAAATAAAAATAAAATCAGAAAAACAGGGGTTTCAACTGGAGGTTTTCGGAGTTTCCCCCTGCATTTTCAAACTGTTTCCAGTGAAAGTGTTTATCTAAAAGGGGAGAGAATGGGGGGGGGGGGACAGACCCCAACATTTTAAATCAAAAAGGGATTCCTTTCCTACTTCAAACACAAAATTCCCCCCTCCCCCGCCAAAAAAAACCCTTCCCATTAGAAATGAAGATTGACTTTGTTTCCATTTGAAACCCAGAAACCTTCTGAGCAAAAAGAGTTGTGGGGAAAAATCTGTCTAGTTCAAAAAAGCATTTTCCACCCAGAAGACGTTGATGGACATTTGACCAGCCTGTCTCGCACTGATGGAGGAGGTGGGGTGACTATGCAGGGACTGAAGCAGGGATCTCTGGACACAGAGCTAAAAGCTGCAGTACATTGAAGGCCGTGGCTAATTTAAGTGTATTTTACATGGACCAGCCACTAAAGGGAGATAAAGGCCCTCCTGAGTTAAAGTGTAAGAAGATCCCAAAGAGGCAGCTGTACCTGTAGGATAAATTTTGCTGCTCTCTCCATCCTTTGGTGGGATGGTCACATGAGTTGTTCCGTTTGGTTTCATTTGGGTTACATGGGAAGCCAGGAGTGGATTTGGCTTTATCTTCTCAGCAGGATACAACCCGTTCCACATCTTTTCTGTCTCCGAAAGAATTGCGGACTCCAAAACAGGGGGCATGTTCACCTTTCTGCAGCCAGTGGTAACTACGGCCCTGTTCACAGTGGGTCTGGCGGTGCCGGCAGAGCCCTTCGTAAGGAGATCTTCAAAGCAGCTCACTGGATTACAGCTCAGGTGCGGTTTGGCTACGTGGGGTGATCAGGAAAAACTCCTTTCAAATACAATTGGATTGTGAGTTTTACCTGAAGACCCCGACCAGCCAGGCTGGGCCCGAGCTGTGTTCGAATGAACTGTTTCAAAGGTATCCTTGGCACGGCTTTTATCCCCAGGGTCAACTAGGCCTTAGCAGGTGCTGACCAAATCAATTCCAGGTCACAGAATCATCCTGGTTCTGTTTCCTCTTACTGGTTTCTGTAGGGTCTGGGTTCGAGGTTTGCCTGTGGAGAGAATTGTCGGGTTACTCTGGCTGGCTTGTGTCGGGGTTTTATCTGCCCAGCCACAGCCCTGCACAGCAGGGGCAGTTAGAGCTGGCAGAGCGAGGACTGCCCGGGTTTCTCTACAGCGATTGTCATCTGAAGGATCCCAAAGCACTCGACAAACCCATGGAGACATGCGCCGGAGCGGGGTCAGTTCCATGTAGAGAGAGTGGGGCCAGATCTGATGGTGTGAATTGGGGCAGCTCCATTGAAATCACTGAACCTAGATCCCCAGCTGGTGAAATTAGCCATCGCTGCACTGCAGTCAATGGGTCCTGACCCCCAGCTCTGATGGGTGAGGTCTGTGTATATGTCTGTTACAGCCACACCTGAACTGGCAGGAATGATCACTTCCCCTTATGCAAATAGTTTACAAGAAGTCGTTATGGTTTAATTGCAGTGCCTGGAATTTTGCACGGGGGGCCGGGGACAGTTCCCTCTTTCTGCCCTTGGGGGATGCCCCAGGAAGTCCCTGCACCCCTGGTGGGACAGGGCCTGGGAGAACAGCAGCAGACAGACAGTCCCAGCTGCACCCTATGGCCGCAGCAGAGCTGTTACTGAGCAGATCTGAAGGGGGCACCCCATCTCCAACACCAGCCAGCACCAGCTGCTTCAGCGGGAGGGGCAGGACACCCCTGTACTGGACGGTGATGGAATAACCTGCCCCGGGGACAGATTCCTCCCTCACCCCCATTGGTTAGAAGCTGGGGCTTATACCTTGCCCAGGAGGGTTTAGAGCCCTTCCCACTCCAGGTTATTTTGTAATATTGATGTTTATAACTCTGGACAGTCCCACTATATCTATAAATGTCAAGAGTTTGGCAGGATTTAGAAAAGGAGATTGACCAAGGAGATCTTGTGGCAGTGAGTTCCACAGGCCAGCTGTGCCTTGGGTGAAAACGTATTTCATTAGATTTGAATCTGCCGCCTTTTCAAGTCAGGGGCGTGGTTTCAGGAGAGCTGCTGCAAAATGACACATGCCCCTGAGTGGAAATGAAAAGTCATTCCAGTCAGGCAATAAACAGCTCCATCAATGAAACAATAAAAGGCAGCTAAACAAACAGCCCCCTCCTCTCACAGCTCCTCTAGGGTATTAGCAGAGCTATGGGGGAGGGGGGTAACGGCTACCTCAGCCAGCTGGGCATTGCCCCATAGTCCCATTGTGTGTCATAAAATGCTACAAGGGCAGGAATCCGGGAGACAGAAAATGCACCCCGGTAAGAGTCTCCTGTGCTCGTACAGGGATTCGGAGTCTCCCCTGCCCGGCACCTTGTAACATCTCTGCCCCCTGCCTAGTGGGGTATAAAATGCCACCGGATTAGGATTCTCCCCTCTCTGTTAGACACTTGCATCATCACCAACCCACTGGCAACTACACCTGGCCTGGGCTGGTGCCAGTGAATCACTAGGGCTACATCTCCACGGCATGGTCAACCCAGCTCTGTGGGACCCGGGTTTGTGGCCACTTGCGTCCGAGCCCACGCGTGAGCATCCACACTGCACTGCAAACCTAGGCATACGATTGCTGGCCCGGGGCCTCTCAGCTGTGCTAATGGTCCGCACCGCACCGCACAGACCTTCTGATGGGTCTGCAGCTTGAGCTGTGTCCACACTGCAAAATGGCAGAGCTCGGACCGGAGTCACACCAGGACGCAGGCTCAGACTCGCCCCAGCAGGATGCTAGGACCTGACTTGACCGGAGTCAGACTGATCTGTGTGTGGACAAAAAGGGGCGCGGTCTCAAACCTGAGTCTGAGCTGGGCTCACTGCTGTGTAGACACACCCTAGAGTCACTTTTTTCCACCAGTCAGCAAGAAACTTGCAGAATAAGGAACGCAGCATTCTCGGCTTAGATCTTAGTCTCTGCCACTGCACAGCTTCTGTCTAGAGCTGCCCCCCACTCTCTCCTATGTCGCTCCCCCTGCACAATTATAGGATCAGCCCTGCCCGCCTTCCTCCCAACACCATCTGCCCCAGCGGGCATTTGTCCCCGGCTGCTCACAGGATCCAGCTTACACAGTGGGGCTGGCAGATCGTATGATATATGACACCCTGACAGACTCACATAGCCAACGCACCTACACACACCCGCCGCTCACGCACAAACGCACCCACAAGCTGGGGCAGCAATTCAATCACCGATGTGACTCCCTGGGTGCTATGGAAGAGAAGTAGCGGGGTGCTCAGCACCATGGAGGCAGAGCTCTCATGAGCTCTGGGCTGCGAACAGGTTCTGCCCCGGGGGCAGGGAGTTTGTTTAGAAACAGAGGCAGAGGGATTAAGAAAGATAGCAAAAGTCTTGGCATTAAATGAAATGAAGGTTTGATGATCCTGAAAGCATTGCCAGGCGCTCCGGTTAAAAGGTAGGAAACAAAGGGCAGGAATAAATGGTCCATTTTCAGAATGGAGAGGAGTAAATAGAGGTGTCCCCCCCCGAGGGGCTTGTACTGGGACCAGCACTGTGCAAAATGCATCAGTGATCTGGAAAAAGGGGTAAGCAGTGAGGTGCCAACGTTTGCAGTTGATACAAGAAGAGAGAAGACAGAGAGGGGGCACAATAGCCATTTTCAAGTATCTAAAAGGTTGTTACAAGGAGGAGGGAGAAAAATGGTTCTCCTTAACCTCTGTGGATAGGACAAGAAGCAACGGGCTTAAACGGCAGCAAGGGGGTTTAGGCTGGACATTAGGAAAAACTTCCTGTCAGGGTGGTTAAGCACTGGAACAAATTGCCTAGGGAGGTTGTGGAATCTCCATCATTGGAGATTTTTAAGAGCAGGTTAGACAAGCGCCTGTCAGGGATGGTCTAGCTGGTGCTGGTCCTGCCATGAGCGCAGGGGACTGGACTTGATGACCTCTCGAGGTCCCTTCCAGTCCTATGATTCTACTCAAGATAGTTAAGACCCAGGCAGACTGCGAAGAGCTATGAAAGGATCTCTGAAAACTGGGTTGTTAGGATATAGATATTCAGGCCTGTCTGTAAAGGCCTTTTCTCTAAGAATTTAGGTGTATTCTTGTCACTTGGCTAGTTATAGAGGTATAAAAGAAAGAATCAAAATCACTGTCTGCCAGTGTAAGGTCCTTCTCTTACTGTGACAGTCTGAGGCCCTGTTCTTAGGCTAAGGCCTTTGGCTAAGCAACAGAGGCTGCCATAAGCTGGGAAGCGACTGGTCACATCCTCACATCCCAAACCAGTCACATTGAAATAAGGCAATCTGGGGCTGTTGGAAAGGTGATCCGATCTATCACCTCCAGAGAAAGGGAAGGGCCTAGAGGATGTAAAAGGACGTTTAGTTTGATAGTTTTCTGTCTGGTAAGAACTCACTTACCAATAGACACAGCTGGGAAACCCTTATGTCCTTATAGGTGTAGTTGTGAAATCCTCACTTCTGTATTGTTTTGTCATTATTGTTCCCACTTTGCTATTGTTTATTTGCATGGTCTCTGTCTGGTTCTGTGATTGTTTCTGTCTGCTGGATAATTAATTTTGCTGGGTGTAAACTAATTAAGGTGGTGGGATATAAAATGGTTAAATAATCGTGTTACAATATGTTAGGACTGGTTAGTTAAATTTCAGGAAAATGATTGGTTAAGGTATAGCTAAGCAGAACTCAAGTTTTACTATATAGTCTGCAGTCAATCAGGAAGTAAGGGGGGCAGGAATGGGAACAGGGAATGGAGGTGGGGAAACTGGAATCGTGCTTTGCTAGGAGGGGAATTGGAATCATGTTTTGCTAAGGGGGGTGGGGAATGGGAACAGGGACACAGGTAAGGCTCTGTGGTGTCAGAGCTGGGAAGGGGGACACTAAGGAAGGAAACTGGAATCATGCTTGCTGGAAGTTCAGCCCAATAAACATCGAATTGTTTGCACCTTTGGACTTTGGGTATTGTTGCTCTCTGTTCATGCGAGAAGGACCAGGGAAGTAAACAGGTGAAGGAATAAGCCCCCTAACATGGGTGACTGGGCAACTAAATGGCAGATGAAATTCAATGTTAAATGCAAAGTAATGCAAATTCAGTTGGGATTGGTCCTGCTTATAGCAGGGAGTCGGATTAGATGACCTCCTGAGCTCTCTTCCAACCCTAATCTTCTATGATTCGATGACATGGCAAAATATAAACCCAACTATACATACAGAATGATGGGGTCTAAATTAGCTGTTACCCATCAAGAAAGAAACCTTGGAATCATTTGCAGGACTCTGGAAGTATATGCAAATTGAATCCATCTCACTGTGCCTCTATCATCCCCAACTCATTCTCTAGCTTCAGAAGACTTAAAACTTCTCTCCAGTCTTCTCTCATGGATAATGCAGCTGTCCTGAACGTGCATCAAGACCATACCAGGGAACTAGATGTAAATAAGATTGCTGGCTGGAGACATAATGTCTTGAAACTGGGACATTAGTGAACACAGCTTCTAGGTGACTGCAATGATCTTAATATACTGTAATTCATGAGAATGTAATTAGGTAGTTGCTAAAAATAACAACTGAATCCTTATTCAAATAGTAAAGATACCAATGACTGACACATCCAATAACTAGAATATGAAAGAAATGTATACATATGCTGAAAATAGCCTCCCCCGAAACTAGCAGAATGCCCCCCAAAACACACACAACCTCTTCAAAAGCACCCGCCAGCAAAAAGAAAAATCAGGGCCTATGAATTTAATAATCGGTAACTTGAGTCCAGCCAAAGCAGCTGACAAGCGCTCTCTGGTCTCTCTGTGGATCTGCTCTGGCAGGGAGAGAAGCAGCAGCTGCTGCCCAGGGTGTTTGCAGGAGGGTCCCTATCTGCAGGGCCAGCCAGCGGCAGAGCATCGGGGCAGGAGCCCGGGGAGTGAATCCGGCAGCTCCGGCCCCAGCAAAGGCATCCAATGGAGCTGGCACCAAGGGTCTGATCCCAGGGCACAAATCCGGGTGCTTTGCAGTGGGGTGAAGCAATCAGATCCCACCTGGCTCTGCGGGGCGGACACATCCCAGGCCATTCACTACAGCCTGCCCAGGGGCATTGCATCTGCCCCCCCGCTCACCCTGCCCCATAGGAGCCCCCTGCAACCAGCCCCTCAGAGACCCGCTGGGGCAACTGAGCTGGGAGCTAAACTGGATTTGTGGGGACAAAGCCGGGGAGAGACAGAATGGAGGCAGCCCAAGGAGAGCTCCCCATGCAGATATTCCCCCCCCCACCCCACCCCCCAGCTCTTGCTGCTCTCTGCTCACCTGGGCAGCAGCCAGGCAGCTCCCCGCAGGAGGACCAACAGCAGCGAAAGGGTTAATTCCAATCAGGGAGGGTTTGCTGGACTGTGAGACACTCACAGTCCTGTGTCGGTCCCTTGCTGTAGCAGGCGGGTTATACACTGGCCCCACAGCTCCTCCCTGCTCTGGGCGTCAGTCATAAATATTCCAAGAAGCTGAAACAAAAGAAATTTTAAAACTGCATCCTGGAGAGGATTTCAAATCAAAAACAATCCACTTCCTGACACGTCTTTCAGAAACAGAAACATGCCCGGGTGGCAGAAAGCTGAGCTGCCCCAGGGACCCGAGCCAAAGACTCTTTGGCCCAGTGAGCACTGCAGGTTCACTGAGGCAGGCAGGTCAGGCCGGGCTAAAGTCTCCCCGTGCAACACAGCTTGGGGGCAGATTTCCCCGGGCGCTGAAACCTGAGGGCCACTCTGGACTCGGGGCCTGTCTGCACTACAGGGGCCTGCAGCCCTAACCGTCCTGGTTGGCTCCCCGGGGTGTACTTGGATAAAGGGGCTCAGATTGGTACCCAGATCCCCTGGCAGGGAGGGAATATCCTGTAGAGGTGCAGGGCACCTTTATACAGAGGCAGATCACTGTTTTTTGGGGCCCTGGGCCAGAGCAGATGGAGACCCCTCCAACCCCCCTCCAGTACCCCTGCTGGGGAGCAGGGTCAGGGTGCGGGGCCTTGCCCCCCCAACCCCTCACCCGCCTGGCGCTCCTGCCAGGGAGTGGGGGCCACTGCACCCTAACCCTACTGGCAGGAGTGCTGGGCAGAGCGGGTCAGGGCACCCATATTTCTGGGGGCCCCCCAATTGGCCCGGGCCCCGTTGGCCCAGTGGCTAATCCACCATTACCAGTATAACCCATTGTCCACACCAAGGGCTTCACCAGTGTAATTATTGTGCTAAAAATATTTCACAGCCCCAGACAAGGTACTTAGAGCGGGATAACTCTTCTAGTGTAGAGCAGCTCTTAATTCACAGTGTCTCCATCCATGTGCGGGGTGCAGGGGTGCGGGAGCGGAGGGGCAATTAAAGTGATTTTAAGTTTAAGGCACCTTTACACTCCCTGAGTGAAATCCATGGACGTCCGTGAGAGTTTTCCCTTGACTTCAGTGGATCCGGATTTCACACCCCCCCCCCCCCCGTCTTTTGATGAGCCTGCTACTGGGACATTAGGGGTATCCAGGGGGAGGAGGTGAGTGAGGTTGTATGGTTTAGAAGGAATCTATGGGCCAACGGGGTTAACATGCCCCAGTCACTGCCCAGCTCTGGACACTTTCCAACAAGGTCTGAGGTTTGGTACATGGAGACTTCAGCTTGCTCAGGACCATGGCAACCCCCACTACAAATCCTCCTCCTAACCTTTAATTAAAGATAAAGACAAAGAAGGAAAAACTGTCCAAGCCTTTGGAATGTAAAGTATCAACTCTAGTAAGTCCTCCATGGTACCAACTCCCCTTGTCCCCTTTCGCTGGAGAGAGTTTTTAAAGAAGGAAGCCCCTCCCCTGGTCAGACAGTCCCTTAGATGGTATCACAGATGGCAACAATTGTCCTTTGGGGGAAGAGAGAAGAAGTTAGTTGAGATGAGCTGGAGCTGCCGTTGCTGCTGGTAAAGTC